ATGTTTTTTGATAAACTTGTGGAAGAGTGTCGGTTTTAATAGACAGCATTTTCGTTTTGAAACACCACTGATCCACATTTTAACAGACACGGTCGTACTCATGCGTGTACCCTTGGTTATATGGGTGAGATGAAGTGTCTAACTATGAAGAGTGCGGTAAGTTTTCTCTGAATGTCGCGTCTCGCAACATCCGTTCGCGAACTTTGAACGGGAGGGTTCGAATTCCTGGTATAGGATACGATACGGTAAATGAATCACTGCCGCTTACAGTGGGGAGAAAACCGCCACTAAAGTGACTTGAACAAATGGAGCTAGACTTGTGTGGGTTGCCCGAATATTTAGAGAGGTGAAGCCCATGGGAATATTCTCTCCTTCGTTGCCATTTAAAAAGGTCGTTATCAAGAAACACAATTTTTTGGAGGTAGTTGATTGTATATTGGCCAACCACCGCAAATCATTGTATCAACCACATGTGCCACTACGATTCTGAATTGAAGTTGAGTGCGAGACGGGATTAATTGACTATCATCGCACTATTCTCCACCTTATCGTCTATTTTTCGTCATACTCTCGGTTACCCAAAACTATCGTGAACTAGGCCTTTAACTCACTTGAAGTTTCACCTTGGCAAAAGCCTGCATCGTCACTGCTCAACAAACCGTTCCCCTCTTGACAATTACTGGCATTTTCAATTGCGGTCGTTGCCAGACGGGTGGACAAGCCAATGGTAACTAGCCGTGAGAGGAGACTGGCCACTCATGGGGCAGCCCACTACCGTGCCACCAAGCTCTTCGCGTCGTGGCGAGTTCGAGCGCTAATAAGTCTGAGCTTTCAGTGCTCTCGGGGATTTCATTTATCAATCATTTCCTTACACTTACTCTGAACGAGTACCGAACTTATGTGATGCAATAAAAGGGTCAAAATGTTGGAAGCAGCCACAAAGTATGGATATAACTCCTGCTTACTCTTTTTTCCTCTTGAATTCCGAATGATGTGCATTTGCAATACTGTGATGAATGTATAAGACTATGTAGCAGTACAAAAGTACGACATAAAAGCCGAAAAATAAAACGCTCCTACCTACCTGTTGCCTTAGCTAGGAGTCAGAAGTGGATATGGATCACCAGGCTGCACGTGTTCAGGAGAGGACGTGAGCACGCGAGAGGATAATCAATAAGGTTTGGGATGTCACGGATATTACAGTGACACTGAGGTAAAGCGCTATGTAACGGACGTCATTTTGATTCCACGACATAGCTCAATTACAATGCACACATCCTGATGCCGTCGCACATACGGCCGTGAAAAAATGTGTACCTAATCTCTTATCCATTTGAATCCATCCATGTGCCCGTCCTGAATACTGGCTTCTGTCTTTGAAGGAGAGAGCATCAGGAGGCAAGAATAGGGAACCCTTTGTGCAGTGCGACCAACCATTCACGCCGAACTGCGCCCCAGCAAGTATGTAACCGTTCCTTGGGGTAACGGAACTTCTCCCCGATTGCGGCATTCTCTCTTGCGGCAAGCGGCAAATGTCACTTCAATTGCCGTACTCAAACCGCCTCCCCGCCAACCGATAGGACGCAATATTTTCCGTTGATTGCCTTTCTTTTTGTTAGAATCAGTCCTATTTTCTGTTTCTTTTTCGTTTTTATGTTTATTAGACTTAATTAGAGTGACTCCTCCTATATAAGCGACGATCAAGACCGCATTGAAATTGAAGAGAGCGGCCAACTAATTCAAATGAATATAGGACTCCCTACCTCACAAATTGTTCGCTCCAATCCTCCATCGCAATCGTGCGATACGCGGCGCGTGCGGCGTGCGCGACGCCGTTTTCGAGCAGAAGATTCCGACCTCCGTTTCATGTTGCCTACTGCTAATCTGCAGCTATCACCCTATTATCCTAGTTTCTTTCATGCTCTGTTCCATCTATTGGTGACAAATGTTGAAATAACGCTAAAAACAACATCCTTCTTTGATTTTAATAATAACTGCCGCAATATCAGTGGAATCTACCGCGGTTTTCGTAGAACGCCGGCGCTGCAGTATAGCACTTGAATGCGACATTTCGCCGCTCGCCGGAATTTCCATAATGTTGATGTTATCGGTAATTATGAGTATACTTCGAACCTGCAACGGTAGCACCGTTGCAGGTGGTGCTACCTATTTACACACGGGTAGCAGTCTGCACTTGTGTACTAACAGCAGCTACCTTAACCTTACACTTACTTTTATTCAGTTTTGAGGACTGATTGTTATGTTGATTCCATGTGTTTGAGAACTTGTGTTAGTTGAACAGCTCAACTCCCCAATTCAATTCGACCTAGCTGTTTTGAAAGAAGTCCTGGATACCCTGGTCGGAAACTATCAGCGCTGTTTTGCTCTGCAGCCGTAAAGCTTGCACTAAAGCCGTAAAATAGGGTTAGAATTTCGGCCCATTTGGTTTTAGTTGATTTTGGTTCATTTTTGATCACTTGTCAACCGCGCGTCCATAAAGTGAGTGTATGCACAATGGCTACTAGTTTGAATCACTCTGCACCTCCGTCAACTGCTTGATGTTGACCGGTCGTTGGCTTTTGTACAGTATGGAAGTCTCAGCTGAGCTAATATTGCTTGTATAATTTAGAAATTTCGTTGCAATCAGAAATAGGGAAGAAGAGAAGGAAGGGGAGTAACATTTTGAAGCCAGCCACTGTCAAAGTCAAAATTGCTGGCCGGACTTCGTAACATATTCGATCCAATACATACTACTACACATACAAGTTATTTTATGCTATAATATATACGCTATTATAAATTTGCTCTTTGGCTATACAAGAAAAATCGGCATGACTTCAGGCTTCAACTCAAGCACTTTACCGAGTAGCCATCGGGTGGAAATTAGTTTGGGGGGAGGGGCATTCTTAAAAGCGTTAGTATAGCAAGGATTGGCATAGTTCATCTGTGCGCTGTTATGCTTTTTTTAGCCAGGGGATGCAGTTTTTAACTAAGCATTAGGAGGGTAGGATCGCAGGGGTGGGTGAGCCCCATACCTCATGCGGGAACATTTTCTACCTAATATAACCTTAACTTACGTCTCCAGTGCTA